TCTGTATCCACGTATTTGTTCATCGTGGCAACGCGTCCAAACGTCTACGGGGGTGGCATTCCCAAAAATACCAATTTATTGCGAAGCGGAACAGGGCTGAATGAACTCGAACGATTTCGCATCAATCTTTAGTTATTTTTTGTTGATTTTTTATTGAAGTATCCGTGATTGCTTTGACGATCGAACCACGATGGTGGCGAATAATCTCGATTACATTAACGCGGAATTCGGAGGTTCCTCGGCCCGATCGCATCCCCGGGCGGCTCCGTCCATCGGTGATCGACGCTCAAGGCCGCATGACAACGAGTCAACAATGAAATCGACAATGAGTGTGCGTGGGGCGGGGTCGGAAGTCCCCGATGGGCTCGATCGATGAGCCCCGCGATTCAGCAACCCCCGGGAGCCAGCCACACTGGTGTTTACGCGGTCGTATCTAAGAGCGCCAGGGACATAATTGCGCGAACGCACCCTTTATGGTGTTTACGAGTAGGACGGCGACATGTCGGCGGCAGGTGGAGGGCATTGCGCCACGTCTTTGGTGAAGGGGATGGGCGAGGGGGTGGGAACGTAATGCACGATCGATAAGACGTTCGCCGGCTTGGCGTCGCTCGTAGTGATTTAGCGATGGCGAAGGTCGATGGGACTCGTGACTGGCCTTCCTTTTTCAATTCCGCATCGGGCGATTTGGTTGACGATTTCGGGCTTCTCCCCGTAACCTCGGACCCACTCGTCATTGTCTCGATGCCGGATTATAATTGCGCCGCATTAAAGAGACGCGAGGCTCGCCCGAGAGTCAATTAATTTTTCGAGATGAAGGAACGGCGACCGACCGCCCCCGCCTTTGTAATGCCGATCGGGTCAGGAATAGCGCGCGAGTCAACGGATTTGTCGATACTTTTATTTCTCAAAATTTAACGGAATGGCCAATGTGTCGGCCTCCTGTGAACGGCAGCAGCAGCTTTATACGAGTAACAGCGTTAAATAATAATTTCGCGTCGAATGAAACTTTTTGGCTAATACAAGCTTCCGGCACATCACAATTTACCGCCCATTTCGTGCGGCTGATTTGAATATTCACAAGAATATCGCTCGTTCGTAAAAATTCCACGCATCAAACAAAATCATTTACTTCCGTCTTTTTTTATTTTTCGTGTAGAATTTATCTTGGGCAGCCGATAAAAGCAAAATCCTATTCTTCGAATTGGACACAGACGAATCGAACAGCTTCCCGACGCTTTTCTCATATCGGACAAGTGAATGCAAAAACAAAACAATACAAAAATGAAATCCGCGGATGCAACGTTGGAGGAAAAGAGCAGTGGTTTCGTGGATATGGTTATTAGCGCGTGAACAGACAACCATGGTTGAGTGCCGGGCAAATAGCGTAAAAGCGGCTCTCGCCGGCGAATGGTTGAATCATCGCGAGAGACTTACCCTGATAGCCGAGCGTCAGGACGAATGCGAAGCCAAGCAGGAGCAGTGCCCTCGGCAGCATTTCGTAGCCGGGATAATCGAGCAGCGAAGACGAGTGGTTCACGTACGTCCGATTGTCCTGTTTCGGTGGTTCGAGCGCTTCTGTGCGTCGGTCGGCGGCCGCCCCCGACGCGTGGAAGGAGCGGCGGACGCTTGACGCCGCCGCCACCGAGTACGTTCCTGGGGAAGGGGCGTGAGAAAGATAGAATGAGAGAGAGAGAGAGAGAGAGAGAGAGAGAGAGAGAGAGGAAAAGAGTGAGAAAGAAACCGACACCGCGCGCGTTTCGAATTACCCGTTTTTTACGGCATCTCGTCGATTCTGGCCGAGATCGACTCACGAGACGGGTGTGACGTCTATAAGGTCACCGAATTACCTTCGGGAGTGCGATGATTAGGGCGGAAGGGAGGAGACTAAGCGAGACGTATCCCAATTTCAAGTCCCTCTTCTTTAAACGCCAATAACTAATTACCCATAATTATCGGCTTCGGAAATCATTGCTGTCACATTTGACAAACGCAGCCTAGGCTCGAGTTTTCTTTTTTCTTTTTTATACGATTCCTAGTGATTTTGATGGTTCCTGTCGTTTCACGCATCTAATTATCCCTATAAAAAACAGACAATGAGTCCGAGTTTTTCCGAGTGATAATTTGCTACTTCTGAACTTATGGCAGGTACTATGATATGGTGATTGAACAAATTGTTATTTCTAGCTGTGAAAATTGAATACACCTGCTTCAATTTTATTTTCAACGACACGTTTACTTTACAATTTCTTTTATTTTACAATCTTTCAATTGCCCTTTATATTGAATTCTTTATCAAATTTGCTTTTCCATTCAGTCTATCATTCAAAGTCACGGAATAATATTTAAGTCAAAGATATTAATAAGCCAGCAATTTCATATACTTTTCCTGCCTTTCCACTTCCCAACAAGCAAATTTATTACATTTATTTATTACATATATTTACGAGATTGTTTAACATATTTTTGTTTATTTGTCATTTTAAGATCAAAATAATTTATAATAAGAGATAATAAGAAAGCCTCTAAATTATACACGTGTCAAATAATTTACAAATTCATATGTGATTTATAACACTTTTCACAGCGCCGATAGGCAATTATTGTTCTAATTTCATAAACTTATTGTTAATATGTGGGCTATTAATCATCATTTTTTTTTATTACTAAGATAAAATTAACAAGAATTTACATGATATTTGATATGAATATTTTCAAGATATTATTGCATTACAATTCCCGGTTATAAATTCCATTTAATTTCATTAAATTCCCCTTCTTTATGTATTATTTAGACATTTTAATTAATAAAACGGTTGCATTTACTATTGTATTATTTATGTTATTTTTTTTAGAAGATTTTGAGAAGAAAATTATAAATAATTCAAGTATTGGTTTGAATTTTTTAAATCTTTAAATCATTCAATCATAATATTATTCAAATGAATGATAAAAAGGAAAAATTTTAATGTTTACATAAATATAAGAACTAAATTTTACTTATTGTAAACCCTATCTTTTTATTTGGAAATCATGATTGAAATCATTCAAATTTAATTAACTAATAATAACACACAATTGCATTAAACAATTAAATTATTTCATCGTGCTTTGCATTAACATTCAAAGTTACATGTGTGTGCGTGTTTTTTTTAGAAAAAAAAAATTAAGAAATAATAGAAGAAATAAAATAAGCAAGCACTCCATTAGCAAGAAAAGACATGATTAAGTGAACTTTCTATTACCTTGAATAATAATTATCAAGATCATCGATATAAAGAAATTTTTTTTATCAAAAAATAATGCCTTTTTATTATTAACACAATTTTAAAATCAATAATCACGATTTTATTGTTGATAAGCTATTCGCGAAACATGACATTAAATTTCGTTTTAATTGAGTTTAAATCAAAATTTTTTATTGAATTTGAAAATGACCAAACTTAACCAAATGATCGAATTACGTTAAAATTAATATATTTCAAACGAGCAATACATTATAATTGGTCATTTCAATTACCGGATTTAAGATAAACTATGTCTGAATGCAGGCGAGAAGAAGCATGACGATTGTCTTTATTTCAATTGACTGGAGCGGTGTATATTCGTCTTTTCAATTCCATAAATTATCGCCGCTGCGACTACTTAATAAAATTCCGAGCAGTACTGGCTCTTACAAAATTTCCCCCTCCATTCTATATTTTCCCTTTCCATCCGATTTTCTGCCATTCATTCCGTAACTTCGCGCTTACGCACTTTTTCTGCATCTTGATGTCGCCCAAACTTGTTTCCATCAGTTTTGAATAAACAATGCTTCAATGCATCTAAACAATCTACAACTATCATATACATCTCTGTCTGTCTCTCTCTCTCTCTCTCTCTCTCTCTCTCTCTCTGTGTGTATACATGTGTATGTGTGTGTCATTAGGTGATAAATTTTGTATAGAATTATGTACAACAATGGGCATAGAAAATATGTATGGTATTATTATTTATAACATAAGTACTTGATGTCTTTATATACATTTTACATATCATAATATTTCTTATAAGAGATGTCCATGACAAATTAATAAATTTTTATTTCAATAAGTTATAATAAATATAACATAGATAATAATAAATATACATCGCTTATAAACACACATTCAACATTATAAATAATATTACAAAGACTTATTAATCAGATGGGGTATTTTTATGTTTATTATGTAAATATTTTATATTAATTTTTATATTGTTTAGAAGAGGCTAGTCAGTATTATATAATTACTGAAATGATTATCTAAATTACATTAAAACCGTTATGACCAACAAACATTTAGTGTAAAATTTTGTTTTTCTATTGCTTTTCTATTAATTCTTCGACAAACTTATATTTTCTTTACTTCATTCAGGATTAATGAAAAACACAAACAATTTTCTAATTTGAAAGTTATCGATAAATCAGCCAATTATTGGATTATTGCTTTCTAAAATAATAAAATTGATCGCAGTTATCTTATAAATTTTGTATTTATACTGTTTCAAAATGTCAAATAATTTTTTGTTATTCTATCATTGAAGTATAAATAAATTATTTCATAACTTATAGTTTTTAGATTCAGTGTTACGTTGTCTTGTTTTGAAGATTTCATTATGTTAAATAAATATAAATAAGGTATTTTATGTTAAAAGCCATTTTTTTTTTTTTTTTTTTTTTTTTTTTTTTTTTTTTTTTTTTATAAATAATCATTGTTATATTTCCAATTTAGAAAAGAAAAAGTATTGTGATGGTATTGTGATTATAAATTGAATTAATTGAACAAACTGTAATCTTCCGTGCTAAAATCAAGAAGAAAAATCTTCCCGCGACGAAAAGATCTTGAATTTAATCGTTTAATTATCAATTTAATAAATCAAATTTAATAAATTAATTATCAATCCTGGCGTGTAAAATAATAGTAGGCAGATTATATTCATGTATGATTGAATAGCGTATATTAATTAAGATTAATTAAAGTTGAAGCACGAACCAAAGAGAATTTTATAGAAAAAATCGATACCGACTAGGATTATATATCATAAATTATGTTGAAGTATAATTTCGCATGTATAATATACTATAAGTATTATAACAACTATACATACGTGTGCCTATGTATTATTTCTATTTATCATTCTATATGCGTGAATAAACAGTTTGATGCTTTATGTTTGTTATCGCCGTTTGCTCGTAACCATAAGTAAAAACACGTGTGACGAAATTTTACAATTATATTTGAGGAAGCGTTAGCGAAAGATAAATATTTTAAGATTTAATTACGAATTAGCACTATAACGAAACTCACATAGTAATATAAATGTTTATGCTTCGTTATGTTTTTATGATTCAACGGATATTACGATCCATAAAAATGATAATAATGAAAATAAGTAATGTTAAAAAATATTTCCAAAATCTCACTGTTATATTCAAATTGCTTTTTGCTAAAAAAACTTTGAGAGTTTTACACAGAGAGTATATAAAGAGAGTCGGATAAAATGTTAGTAATTTTCTTCATTAGCATGTAACTGTACATTGATTCTCAGAAACAATAACTGAACTTTTCCCAAATACAATGATTCACGAGTATTGCAGTTTTATTTTGCCTTTTGATAGGTTTTTTGATTACTAAAATTTTATTTAAATATAGCAAATTTAAAAATAAGTTACTAAATTTCATTGTAATAGTTATTTTAGAGTTATATCATGTTGTTTGTCCTTTGAATTTGGTTATTCGAGAATTTAAAGCACAAGAATTTAAAGCTAATGTATGTAACTATTTTTACAATTACTTTACAATAGTAATAATTACTATTTATAAGTATTACGTATTAAAAGTAAAGTGTCGCCTATATTTGAAGAATCGAGAACTAATATTTAATAATTAATTGTTAATTTTTTTTATGCGTAATATTATTTAAATATTATTACTTTAGAGCTAAGATAATTACTGAACTCAGCTTAATAATTATCTTTATCTACATCGAGTTAGAATATATAAAAATAAATAGTTAATATTTTACAAATCTTATTATATTTAATATTTAATAAATTTCTTTTAATTGATTTCACATTCGTTTACATAATACGTAATTAATATATATTATATTATATATTATATTATTTATATTCGTATGTTTCCTTGCTTTCTCCCCCTATTTTATAAAATTTTATTATAATGGTTCGCAGTATAAGATTAACAGTTAGAATTTTGTCATTATCTGTATAATGTGATCTATAATCATGGATATGTGAGAGTGACTTAGAATATCGAATAGATTATCTTTAAGTGGATTGGATTGTGTTGTAAATGTTTTTGGTAGTGAGATATTTGTGTGAAGCAAATATGCATTATTTCTTTCTATTTCACTCGAATATTACCCTATTCTTCTTTAGAATGGAAACAATTAATTTACACGATGAAAAAAAATTGATATTATGTGCTTGATATTCTATTACGATAGTAACTCGAGTATTCGTAGAAATTGTTTAAATAATTATTTATTATGCATTAGCATCTTAAGCTATAGTTCATTATTGAA